CCTCAGCTATGCATTTCAGTCAATCTGCCTGTTCTGCTCCCTACTCTGTCTCTGGTGAATCCTCTCACCCCCCATACTCTGGCCTGTACCCCAGTTCTTTATGCATAAATAAATAAATCTTAAAAACAAAACAAAACAAAAGCAATGAGTGGGGGCAGGGTGGGGGGAGCCATCCCCGGCAGGAGAATTTCCCCTATGCCTTTTTGGGTGTTTGTAGCAGTTGGTTCTTTTGGTCTGCTGGAACTTTCTTTCTGTTCATTTAACAATTATTTGTTCTGTTTGTTTAACAATTATTTACTCAGTGATATTATATGCAATAACTGGACAACTAGCAGTAAAAACAAACAAACAAATTTCTTTCCTTCATGGGATTTGTATTCTAGTAGAAAATTAAAAGATAACAAAAACTAAAATATATCTCGTCATGATAAGTGAAGGGAAGAAAAATAAACTGGGACAAGACAGATGGACACTAATGGGAGCCAAAGGTGAATGAAGAGGCAACTCCTCTTTGCTAAGATGCTAGAGACCTTTGAGTAGAGACCTGGGGGAAGGGAGGGAAGGAGCTGCTATTCCAGGTTGAAGGAACAGTCACAGGGTCCTGAGATGTGAAAGCCCTTTGGCTTTTCCAGGAACTTGAGACAGGCCACCGTATCAGAACACAGTGAGTGGGAGTGTAGGGGAAAAGGGTGTCTGGACCCCAGGACACAGTGTGATGGGTTATAAATAGTATTTGAGTGAGATGGGAAAGTAGTGGGAAATTTTGAGCAGGGAAGTGACTTGATGTGATATGTTTAGAATCATTGTTATACTATATATAATTTATTTAGACCCTTTTTACTACACAGTGGGTTCTAAGGCATAATGAGTTTTTCTCCATATCATCTCCAATACTTGTTTTTCTTGCCTCTTGATGTTAGCCACCCAGATATTTCAATGTTGATTTGCCTGTATGAAATTTATTTGTGCATTTTTTTTTTTGAGAGAGAGAGTATGGTCTTATTTCTGGAGAGAAAGAAGCCTGCCCTTGGCTGTGAAGTGAAGGAATTCCTGGAAATGATGAGGATGATTGTAGTTGAGATGTTTTTATAACAAGATGAATGTGATCAATCCTTGTGAATATGTGACTCAATCAGTATTTTTTCCTTCCTCCAATTTTTATTTCATTTATTAATTAATTTTAAAAATTACCTTACATCATTGTTCATTTTTGTATAATATTTAATTTCCCCCCTCAGGTGTAGTATGCATAACTCTCCTACCACCACAGTATAGTCCCTTGTGCTCTTCCCTCCCCTGTTTTGACCATTCTCCTTCATCCCTATCCCTACCCCGTGTGCCTCTGATCTACCTTTTGCCTGCAAGTTTTGTCTTTTTCCTGATAATCAGTATTTTGGAGGAAAAAGTTGCATGTGCACATTTCTAATCTTACTTGTGATCCAGGGTGATTTGGGGAGGTCAGAATCTAATCAGTCCCATTTTTGTTAGACATTCAACATAAGCCATCTTCTCAGCTCACAAGGCATCCACACAGAAGAAGCCGAGACCTCCTGAGGAACCTCAAAGTGTAACTGCCCTGCTCTATTTCCAGGCACCAGTCCATTCCTTTTCACCCCCAGATTCCTTTCCGCAGCAGACAGCCATGGCTTTCACTAATGCTCCTTAGTGGAATAGAAGAGTTCTGAAATGTAGGGTCCTTACAAAATAATGTTTTAAAGCTCTTTTCTTTTCTAATCTGTGAATTGTTGGGGGAGACTCTCAAATTGCCTACTGGTTGTGTTTCGGCTCCATGATTACTCAAGTCAAGCTGATTATGACTAATTTTGGTCAAAATAGATTTGTGTCTGGGCAAACAACCATGTGCAGAGTCTCAACCAGAGGCAACTAAATTGAGATTCATGTTTTAATGAAGAATTTTAATGACCATGTATGTCACATAATTCCAATGAACCAATTGCAATGCAATGTCCCAAGTGTGTCAGACTATTCTAGAATTTATTTGCTATATTTTTTCTCACTTTAGAGTTGCTCTTTGATTCTGGCACATCATTCTCTCCGGTAATGGCTTCAAATCAGTCTGCTTGATTCATGGCTGCACAGAGAAGATTTTCTCAGGAGCTAGTGGGAAGATTGTTGAAAAAAACATGGAGAGACAGATGGTAGACTTTATTTTACTGGCTCATCTGCGTTTGCAGAGAATGATTATACATTCAAAGTAAGTGGCACCAGAAGTCACATCTATCTGAGGTTCATCTCACATGTTTCCTCGCGGAGTTTCTAAAATAGAGTGTCAGGGACAGACTAAAATCTGAGTAAATGTATGGAACTCTCCAAGGACATGGTCACGACATGACCTGGGGCAGGGCCAGATCTGAGAGGTCATTTATTTTGATACTTCTAGTCTTCTTACTACCTTCTTGTTAGATGAGAACTTAGTACTACCTTGAATGCAATGAGTGATGGGAAACTCTCTATTTCTAGTTGTAGACAATTTAACTGTGACATCATTCTTCCTTCTTTTGAACTGATATTGCCTTCTGTGTAATTTCCACTTATTAGTCTTGGCTATGCTCTTTGGAAGCAACACAGAACAAATCGATTTCCTGTTCCACCTGCGCTATCTTGGGTGTGAGCTAGAATGCCATCTAGGTCTTTTACAAGATAAACATTCCCAATTCCTTGGATTGATACCTATAGGAAATGGATTGGGTTCTGGGTCATAAGCACTCTGAATTAGGGGAACTTGGAAGAATCCTGGTTTAATATGAAGGTCCCTTTTCCTTGGGAGTTATTCTTTTCCATATCCACACTATAGCTGATCATCCATTTTCATTTGTTTCTACAATAAATTCACTTGCACTGTACATTTACTAATTTTAAGCTGATTATCTAAAATTGAAGGAGGTACAGCATGATGTTACATTTTGGAACTCAAGGGCTTCTGTTATCTTGTTTTCTTCTCCCCACTCCCCTCTCCAACCTCCTGCCATTACTATAAATTTTTCTTGAATTATTCAGAACACTTCGGCTTTCCTTGAAGAGACACAGTAGGTAAATTCTTATTTCCCCATGCCCAGATGAATGATCTTGAGATTCAGTAGTTCACCTTGGAAGGTGGTCTTACATTATTGAGTACCCAGTGGAGCTCAGAGTGGCCAGCATAGCAATGCACCCTTGTACTTACTCTCTTTCCTTTCCTGCTTCATTCTCTTTGTCCTATACCTCTGTTTCCTCAGGGGCTGCTATCCTTAATAAAACTGTTTTTGCCTTCTGGGGAACCCAGGTTAAGACAGCTCTCTTTTCATTTTACTACAACACCCAGGCAATATCAGTTTAACACTACAGACATCATTTATGATTTCAGCAATACATGGTGTAAATGGATTCTCTTTTTCAAGAGTGTAACATGAAACATTTTTGTCAAGCAGTCTGTAGATCCTCAGAGAAACATACTCAAAAGATAATCTGTAATACTCTACATTTTAATAGTTCTACTAGGTCTTGCTTTGAACACATTTAATGTGTCAGAATTTAAGCACATGAACCTAAATTACTTACAAAGCTACAGTGCCCTGAGTAGACAAATATGACATCAGGAGAGCTGTCACCTTGTGAAAAGAATGTAAACCATTTGTCCTTTAGTCCTTCCTTATCAATTAGAATTGCCCAGGTTTGTGATAGGACACCAATGGCATAACCCAAGTCAAGTCATTACTTTAGTTTTGAGTCAGCTTTGCGTAGCAGGGTTAAGAAGTGTATCTTGTTTGAATATACATTTAGAAAATTCTCCAAAAGAAAAAGGAAAGATTTCTGGGGGGAGAGAAATGTGTCTATTAGGATGGAGGAGAGAGGTCTATAAGATAGAGGAGAGGAAAATATAAAACTTACACATAATTTTTCAAATAGAGAATGGGAGGACTCAGAAAATGACACTGTGAACTGATCTAGGTCAAGGAAATAATAAATATTTGCTCCATCATAGCTGGTGGTAAGATCTAGGTAGGACACAATCAGATATTTCCTTTGCGAAGTGCTTATTTGTTTCACGTCCTGGCCAAGTCCAGGTGAGATTCCTGCCTCAACTCTTAGTCCATAGTTTAGATGGGAAAAATTATGTGTCTTTTCTCCCATCCAATTCCAGGTTTTCAGAAGATTAAGGTAATTAGCATATCTGTCCTCCTCAGCACAGCGATTGGCATAGGAATGGGCACATGATTCAATCTGGGCCAATTAGGATTAAGTGCAGGATTTCAACCAGCACTACTGGGGAAAAGATACTTTTTCCCCACAAGTTTAGAGTTATAAAGCTAACCTTGGAGCTACTGGGAGCTTTTATAAGGTAAAAGGCTAGGTAATCATGAAGTTTACATGAAGGAAATCTCTACAAAGCCTACAGAGAAATGAAAAGAGGTGTTTCCTGACAATACTGAATGAACACCCAGATCTAGCCATGCCTGAAGCTATCACACTTCTGAACTTTCCAGATATTACAATCAATAAATTCCTTTTATGCTTAAGTCAGTCTGCCTTAGCCTTTTGTCATTTATCACAGAGTCCTAACTAACATGTTCAGGACAATGGGGACCAAGATATATGTTGATTCCTGATGTTAGCATAATTCCATGAATAATATTCTGGAACATTTTGAGAAAAGATGAATATAGTTCTTGAGCTATAAAAACTTAACGCTTCCTTCTATCATCTCTCTGAGGCTGCTTCCAAAGTAGTAATCCCCACCCCCCAATCAGTCGGCATCAGTCTTTAAAGTCCCTATCCCTCCTCTCTCTTGCACTCCTCCCTAATAAGTTTGTTTATTCAAGTAGATGTTTATGAAACAAATGGCCTTCCACCCCTGTGTTCCTCCCCTTGGAAGCAGGAAAGGTAAGAAGAGCAGACAATCCAATTTAGAAAATAATAATATTTAAAGAAAGAGTCAGGAAATTATATTTGTTATAAGCTTTTTCTTTTTTTCATTTTTCTTTTTTAGAATTGAAGCTTATGAGTTTATCTACGCCCACTATATTCATAATTACAATTTAATATCTGCATACAAAAGCTATGTAAAAATCCATTTTTCCAAATATACAAATTTCCTTTTTGGATAGTTTAAAACAGATTGATCACAGATTTCAACAGTTTTAGGCTGAAAAAAATATTACCAATCTAGCAATATCACTTAACACTGTTTGCAAAACACAAATCTTCCAATGACTGTAAATCGTTTCCTGTTGAGTATTTTTCTGATTTTCAGGGCATGAAGACATTGTGTATGTATGTATGTGTGTGTGTGGGGGGGTAGTGTTTTTTCTGAAGAAAGATGGAGAATTAATTTGGCTCTAAAAATTAAATGAAAAATATCAGGTTAATTAGGAAGAACCAAAAGAAAGAAGTGGCATAATATCAGCTCATTCATGCCCTGATATCTTCTGTATCAACAATACATGTGTAATTAAATAAAGTCTTCTTTTGTCTTACACTGTGCTCCGTAATTTACATGAGTATTATCTGCATCCTGAGAAGGACAGATTTATATTTGATTGTCTTGTGCATAAAATGGGTCAGCTTTAACTGTGCAACAGAAAGCCACAAACAGCGTGTTGCCTACATGATATTGCTCTTGAAGGCGGCATTAATTAATGTGGAGACACACTAGAAATGCACACTTTTTGCATTTGCAAACATTTATACAGCACAGTAAAAATTCTGTGATAAGGCCAAACCTTTTTTCCCCCGAGTTTGTGGGTTTTTTTTTTTTTGTGTGTGTGTTTTTAACTTTTTTTTTTTTTAAAGATTAAGGTAAAATGTTTCAATTGTAAAAAATACACACCGGGCAAATCCTTACCTGGATAATAAATATCTACATCACAGTACAATAAAATTTTTTCTCTATAAAATTTAAATATGGATTATAGTCTATCACTATCAAAAGAAACACTAGGCTAGTATTTCCATATTATTAAAATAACAGGAAAATTACGAGCTTATTTTAGAACCTGATGCCATAGCCTTTGGAAAGGGCAAAGAGATTCCAAGGTCTTTAAGCACTCTCCTTTTGAAGAGGAACTGTGGCTTGGTTATTCACTTAAATTCAGTTTATGAAAAAGGTTTAGCCTTACAAATGCTGGCTACATTTCAAAAACCATAAGACTGATTTATAATTTATTACTCATGCAGCAAAAGGTCAATATGACACGAATAGGTTAGAGTTCCATAGAATAAAAATGTATCACTGACAATGAATGACATGCGCTGAGGGTGCTCAGCAGTTCCGTGGAGGCTGAGTCTGTGTGTGTGGGGTGGGGGCTCGGTGTTGAGGAGGGGCCAAGGCTTGCACACCTGTTCACGGAAGAGCAATGAGAATGACCTTGTTGGAGCAGAGCCGGGCCTGGCGGTCCACCCTGCTGACCGCGCTGCAGATGGACGAGGTGTCACTGGGGCACAGGTTGGGTTTTCACTGGGCTGAGGCTTCAACACAGCAAGCGCATCATTGAGGACCGAGGCTCGTTTGACTAGAGAAAGCTCTGAGGCAGCACGTGGTATTTTGAGCAGATTCATAAAGAAGAAAGGATCTTACTTTTTTTCACTATTTCTGGAAATACTGCACATCTATATTGAAGAGCAAAGTACACTTGAGGGTTACGAACATACACTCACACACACACACACACACACACACACACACACACACACACACACCACTCATCCCTTAAAAGTTAAGTCATATATAAATAGAATCCCAGTTGGATGGGTGTATGCACCTCTACTGGGATATCACCCCCCCATCCCCCGTGGGGGCTTTCAATCAGGTCCACACTTGATTTGAAAGTCCGGACAATATAAGAAAAAAAAGTCAAAAAAAAAAAAAAAGAGCAAATTCCTCCTTATGAGTTTTATGAGATGTAGTCTTAAGATGCACTAATACCTCAATCAGTTACAAAAGGAATGAGCTGGTCGCATTGACCACTGGGTTATGATCCATTGAGTCCTTATAACCTTTCGTTTCAACCTGAAGTATTTTAAGGCTTATTTTCCTCTATATAGTCAGCCTTCCTTTCAGGTCATTGTTTTGCCTGTTTAAGGGAATCCTTCAAGAAACTGAGGATCAAGTAGAAATTTACATGGGGTCAGCTGGATTGCTGTAGACATACTGTACCATTTGGCCAATACCCAGTAACGGTTAATCCCCAAAGCATTCTTAATCGGCTTTAGATAGGTGTGTGCATACATTGGAATCTGGGGGTGTCTCATATACTGAGGAATCTCCACCAAATAAATTGAGGAAACTTTCCCTGGAAGGCCTAGTGTGCCAGGAGACTCTGAACCCTTCCTGTACCCTGCCCATTGCCTTCCTCTCATTCTATTCTGAAGAAAATTTACCCCCCCCACACAAAGCTTCTCAGAGTAACTCTGGAGTGCTGGTGGCAATTAAGCTATTTGTTTCAGAGAAGTTATCTAAGGAGACTCAACAGAGGAAGCCAAGATGTTAACAAAACAAGGAGTAGCAGAGACTGTCCAGAAAACAACCCCCATCTCCACCAAAAAAGAGAAACAAAATCTGTTTGCAGATAAAGTCAAAGCAGGCAATAGGTTCATGAATTTCGTGCTTATAATTTTCCTCTCTTCACCTACTTCTTTTCTCTGGCTGGCAAGTTCCACAGTGATGATGTTGTTTCCTTCTCCCCAGAAGGCAGTGCAGTTACTTCAGAGCATCAGACATGTGATTTTACTCATAGGTTATTTCCTGTCAAACTTGAGATTCTCAAAGCTGTTCCTCTCCTTTTCCCAAGGCCATCCTGTCTTCTAAATAGCTGACTAGATTCTTATTTTGAACGAAATATCTTTCCTTGCCTACAAAGAGGGCCATAATTGTTGTCTAATACAGAGAGAAATTTGAATACGAAAGAAACCGTCCAAAGAACCAGATTCTTTCCCGTGAAATTCATACATATTAAAGGTTGGATGGGTTTCATATTTCATTATGTATTCACTACATGAGAAAACCAAGATCCAAGGTCGTAGATCTATCACTTGACAGTGCACCAACTAAAATTCAGGTACCCTGATGTCTGGGTCTGTTAGGCCCCACCAAACTTAAAAAATTAGCCCACTTGGTTTTCACAGTGAATTTCATTTCTTTGCTTTCAGGTCAATCAAACTGATATGGCTTATTTTCCCCCAATATTTCCAGGGTAAGGCAGTAAAAGGCAGGCAATGGGATAGCTCATGTCTACTACGCCAGTGAAGAACAAGATACATTCAGTTGCCTGGGTACATTCTTTGCCCATTTTCTGACGCTGAAGTGATGAGGAATTACGATTTGTTTTCTGGGCACAAGCGACTCCAGCATTTGTCATGGGGAGGCAGGGCAGGCAAGGAGAGGGAAGGGTTGTATTCATGGTCTGCCAGTGTCTTCCGTTGGATATCTGTCAGGGAAAAGCTATAAGAGGAAGAGAGAGGGTCAGTGACCAGACCAGACTTAGCTTAGTGATAGTCAAGCCCCAGGGTCCATGGGAAAAGGGGAGAGGAAATGTTTTCCAGTAGAGCAAAAAGCTTGAGGACCTAAGATGAGAAGGAAGCATCCCCAAAACATCCATTTGTGAAGGGGACTCTTGGAACACTGCATTTCCTGCAGCTCAGAATGCAACTGTACTCATCTCTCCTCCAGAACAAGACCAAAATTTTGCCTTCTTCTCTCTCTTAGAAGATTTGGACCACAGTGAATTCTGTTGTCAGCTCAGCAAAGATGTCATCAGAACACGTAACTTCAGGAGTTTGGGATGTGGTGGATCTGATGTCTTTGAAAAGTGACAATACTCTGCAGTGGGTTTGATTTCTGTGGAAATTTTCTGAGTCAAAATTGTGAAGAAGGCTTCCTACGATGAGGTAATATTATGTGAATTTTGGGAAACTGTTGCATCAATGACATTGGTGAAGATGTCTAATTTCTTTGGGCTTGCAGAAGAAAATGGTTTTCCTTCTTGGCCTCACTCAAATACCTGTCTACACCCTTGAGTAACTTGAATTAAATCATAGGATTATAAAAATTACAGTGAAAGGACATCTTCTTTTTCAGGAATAAATATCTCTGTACATTCCAAGTTATGCTCCTGGGAGAGAATGAAGAGTGTGAAAACAGCATGCTTTTGCATGGGTAGGTAGAAATTCATTCAAACTTTTCCCTAGAAAGCGGAGAGCCACATTTAGCTCTGCAAAACTCAGGATTGGGTCAAGATGACTATATTATCTCAGTATTAAGGCTTCTTTAGTCTTCTGCTGTGCCATTTTGCTTTCTTGAGTCTCTGACCCGGGACAGATGGGAGCTGGTGATGACTTGGTGCTGGTGAATTAATAATTGTCCCCACCCCACCTCCACCACTGTAAAACCTTCCAAGTATTCACATCAAAGGACGGGAGAACAAAATACAATAGTTACAAGTACCCGAATTCAAGGGATGGTTTCATCCGTGTCTATGCCAAGGACTACCTCCCTGTACCCCCAGACAATCCCTCCCAACACAAAGAAATGAAAGAACAAACAAAAGAGAGCTCTAGGCAATGGAATGAAATGACACCCAACAGTGCTATAGGAATTATGGGAATGAATTCAGTCTGTCTAATCTTCGAACACTTCCAAGAACAATGGGGGGAAGAGTTCCGTGGGGCATTCCACCTTCATGTGCAGGAAGCGGCTGGCATGGCAGGCGCCAATCATCCTTAGGTCTGTCACCTTCATCAGGAGTTTTGGCCAAAAGTGTGTCACATGATGTTTTCGGTAATTGATATAGTGTTCAAAGGCCAGCAGGAAACTATCTTGGTATTTCTCTATTCTCTCAACACAGGCGAGTCCTGGGCGGTCTGAGGGGAAGAAAGAGCATGGATGTTAATTTAGAGGAGGAGAGGAGAAGGCTTGCCTTGTCCGATTCACGCCCTTGACCAGGAAGTGGGCAGATGTGGGAGCTTCTTAACTCCAGAAAGGAGCATGTGTGCAACATGACCTCGGGGCATCAGGGACCGAGATGTCAGGGAGTGATGTAACTTATGTGAAGAGAGTCGTTGCTTTGTTCAGATGAATAGCTCTGGTGTAGACAATTGCCTCTTTGGGTGTGACTGTCGGAGCTGCTCTCCTAGGCGACAGAAGAGAAAACTCACACTAGAGAGTTGGAACACTCTGCAGGATGAGATGAAGATTTTGAGTGTCTGCTAACTCCCTGGGGGGGGGGGGAAACAGGGATATGACAGAGCAGGGAGATGTGAAGAGAGACTGGGAACATTTCAGGAGGTATGGCATCCACTTCTGCCTCCACAGGTGCGGCATCCACAGATGCACAGTTAAGAAATTCCCATGAAGGCAAAGAAGGTGAATATCCCATTTTAGTTGTTTGTGAGGCTTTGGTGAACCACTCCCTCCCTTCCCTTGCCCACTTAGTGAAACTGTTACCTGTAGCAACCTTGCATTGGAGGTGCTTTGGAGAATTAAAATGAAAAGTGAAAAGGATGTGAACCATACTAGAGTCTCCCTGTGCAGAGTCACAGTGGGATAGAGCAAGAGGCTAGGACCGAGAAACCTTCCCAAGTCTGGGAGGACCACTCATCCTTGCGCCTGTGAGGGAGGGGTCAAGACAGCTGTGATCACAGTAGTGGGAAGTCTCAAGAAGGCTGCATGACTGTGGAACATCCAGCACTTGAGTTACAAAAGTAATTTATAAACCAGAATGGATTCCTGACATTGCTCCAGGAAGCACGACCACCCCTTTGCCCAGTTCTCCTGGATTTTCTTTAGTGGCTCTGAAGACATGAACTCACAGTTCCAGTTTCTAGTTTATTTTTTAAAATGTCAATGACATATCTTTAATGTGATCAAGCATTTATAGTCATTTACCCCATTTATTTTGTTACTTAAAAAAGAAAATATATATATGTATATACAGTTGACCCTTGAACACCACAGTTAGGTGTGCTGTCCAGTGTCCATTATTAAAGTATCTGTATTGATAAAAATCTAAAGAGGGTTCTACTTGATCTGAAAGGAAGGATAAGGGAAAATGTTTCAATTCACCCTTCTGAGTATAAATAAAATATAGGAAATCCCCTGTTCAGCTCAAGTTACAACTGGTGCATTTTTACTGTGTGATTTCCTTGACAGGGGATGCAGCTGTCCATAGATCGCTCACTTCCTCTGTCTTCCCCCTTTTATGGCATCAAAACTCTGTTCTTTGATGAGAGCTAAAGACAAGGTGGCCATAGAAGATGGGTGAACATGTTGATGTGGTTCAAGTTGAAGTAAACTGCTTTTAACTCCTTAAGACAAAGTTCCTCTCTGCTTATCAGTACAGAACCAAGGAACAGAGTAGTAGCAACTTGTGAAAAAGATTTTTGAAGACAAGACCAAGAGACTCTGTAACTGAAATGCTAAACAAAACAATAGGGCTTAGCAGCAAAAACTGAGTGAGACACAAACCCCATCAAATGCCTTACTGGATGATTCTCCCAATTCTCTAATCCTTCTGAGGCTGTCACTGCCGACAACCGCAAGGCAGACTCCATGTCCTTTTTACACTTCTTCACCCACCCTAATACCCTGGACATTTCTATTAATACTATCAGAAGCAGAGAAATATTACAGGACTCTTCACATATGACAAGTGATAGCTACATATTGGCATCACCCCCACAATGAGAGCGATGGGCAAGTTAGGCAGATGGCTGTGGAGCAGAGTGACAAGTGTTGAACTGCAGCTAAATATGGGGTCCTCTGAAAATGCAGAGACGACTTTGAAAGCACCTTCTAGTTAAAGACTAGCTTTCCTTCAAGAAAGCGATGTGTTTTGCATTTATTATGACATGACCCCTGAAGAAAACAGTGTCAGCATTATTATCTATTCTTCAATGATGAGAGTTAGAGGTCTGGATAATGAGTGATGACGGGTTAAATATGCCTGTACATCCTTTTCCATTCCACCCATGTTGAAGTGGACTCTTGAATCTGGGACTTGTTTGGACCAATACAATGTGGTAGACATGATGCTATATGACTTAAAAGTGGACAGCTGCAACTTCTGCTTTTGTGTGCTTGGAATATTTCCTTTAGAATACAACAGCCATGTAAGAAGGGCAACTCCTCTGCCAGAGATAAGGCTGCATGGAGAGCAGCCTGCAGCTGTGTTTGATGTCTCAGTTCCAACCCCAGTCACCTTGGGTATTTTAAGTCCCTAAGTTTTGGGCTGGGGAGTTGTGCTATTTAGCAATAAATAACTGAACTTAAATTGTTAACCCAGGGACAAGTGCTAGCTCTCACTTATGATTTCTTCACACAGAACTTCACACAGAATTGGTGGACACTCTTATTCGTATTCTGTATACACAAAACCAGGAGGAGGGTTGGTGAGCTACCATGTGGCAGGCTAAGTAGTGTCTTAAGATGGAACATCTCCTTAAGATGGCTCCTTTGATTCCTAGGCTTCATCTCACCACCCTGGGACCTGACACCTGCCTTCAGTTACCCAGTTCATTGGTAAACCCCCAATTACTCACTGAAGGAGACTGAGCTGTGATTCTGAAGTTAAAGGCGGACTGAAAACTCATCAAGTGATTTGAACTAGCCAAACAAGCAAAGGCTCTTTGGAGGCCCCGTCTGGGCATACTCACCTGAGGACATCAGCAGGACAGCCTGAAGAAGAGCTACTTCAGTGTCATCGAGGTTGAAAGAAGAAAGAGACATGCCCAGGTCAAAGATGGCGTCTGACACGACCCCAAGACCCCCGTTTTTCAGCTGGCCCCGTGTCACTGCCATTTCCCCATTCAGGGTTAAAGTCTCACTTTCGGGGTCATAACGCACAGCAGCACGAAGGGACATGATCTCCATGCAGCAGCCTTTGAGGAGGATTATCTGGTCTTCACATGGCAGCTGAAAAGGACCAGCCCACGTCAGCAAAGAACAGACGAATGTCAGTCATTTTTGTCTTGTTGCTCTATTTCTCAATAGTTCACTCTACCATTTAGCTGACAACTGTGCTTCTCTTTGTTTTAAAGCAAAATTTGTTCTCTGAGTCTCTTAAAAAGGCACAGAATTAGAAGGTTGCTATTGATGTGACCCAGGAGGCTCAGAGATATAAAGGCTGGATGCCGAAGGCCATCAAGTGAGTTAGAGGCAAAGGTGAGAATGGTGTTCAGACCTCCTGGGGCTAGAGTTTTGTTCTAAGTATCTCAGGCTCCAGAATTACTTCACACCCTGGATCTTTCCGCCAGGTTTGCAATCTCATTTTTAGCTCATTTGGTTGACTTGTTAACCAGGATTTATGATAACGTGATAACATCAAGAATACTTAAAAAATAAAGACTTTGCAAGCAAAATAATAAAAAATATCAGTTTTTTTCCCCTGAAGGAGGAGAATGTTTAAATAAATGCCACTAGCAAAACAGTGTGAAAGAATATTATTAGTTAATGGCTATTTTTTTATTAATTGGGCATTGTGTTAAGGTTCACATATGTTACCTTATTTATTTATTTATTTAATTTTTTTTTTTTTAAATAGAGGCATGTTTTATTTATTTATTTATTTATTTGTTTGTTTGTTTGTTTTGTTTATACAAGCACTGGGTACAGTCAGAAGCGCGGGAGGGTGAGAGAATTCACCAGAGCCAGAGTGGGGAGCAGAGCAGGCAGAAGGACCGAAGTACACTGCTGAGGGGAGCAGCGGGCGGCAGGAGAGGTCTGCGCGCCATGTGGGACCCTCCTCTAGTGGCCGGGGAGCAGCCGGGGATCGAACTGGCGCTGCAGAGGCTGCGAGCAGCTTCGCAACCCAGCGCTCAACCGCTGCGCCACCGGGGAGGCCCCTGTTACCTTATTTAATCTTCACAGCAATACTACAGATGTGGGAATCCAGGAGTGAAAGGTTGAGTAAAGGGCTGGAGGTGGGGGGTGTTGGTGTTTGTCACATGAATGTTTGGGGAGTGTTAGAGCCAAGAGAAGGAAAAAAATAACACAATCTTTGGAAGTACTTGGGATATGACTAAGTTTCCATCAATAATGACTATGGAATTTACACATAATTTCTCTCTCTTCTATCAAGGCAGATACAGATTCTTTTGGGAAACACTTTTTGGCAACACTGGACTTGTGTAGTCTAGGTTATATAAAACTGTGAGCAATTCTAAGGAATTACATTTAAAACACTGGGTATTGTATATTTTTACTAGCCCAACCTAGCAACCATACCATTTAATTTCAAATTACTTGACTTCTACAGAATAAAAGTCATCTCGTATTTGGTTCTAGAATCTATATGAGTGAATTTTCACCGTGGGCTCATTAAAAAAAAATGACACCGATTGCTTTTGTTATGTTCTAATGTGTACTGTACTCTTCAAGTATATATCTTTGTATTCCTAGCCCAAAAGTATGGTAGAAATTAGCAAATCCAAGTTTGGATAGATCTTCCCACAGGTAAGATATAGAACCAGCGGGAGTGGGTGGAGGCTGCTTTAATGCCCAGGGTGCTGATTCCTCAGGGCCTCTCAAAGGTTTATTGAAAGATCATTGCTGCCACACCCTTCGAATTTCTGTGATCTAGGTTCCCAGGGGATATCCTGTGGCTGGTGGGGCCCTACTCTTGGGAACCCTGGCATAGAACAGCAATGAGAACGTATTAATCAGATCAAACCATTTATTAAAAAAAGCATTTATTAAAAAAATCCAAGTGTGCAAACTTGGGCAGAGTCTGATTATAGATAAATTAGAAGTTTTCTTTTAAAAATTTACCATTGATTAGTTCAAATTGAAATAAAAGCTGAGTAAGCATTTGTCAGGGATCACCAACGGCTTCAAAACTAGGCCAGATGTCTTCCTTTAAGAGGAATTTATAGGATCCTGGTGAGGTTATTTCAACATGTGAGCAAATAGTCTCCTAGTCACCTGCCAAAATACTTTCATTGTGAGAAAACTCCGTGATGGACATGACAGGGAGAGACGCGGGGATCCACCCACAGACTCTTATTGTCTCCTCAGGAGAGTGTCACTCAGGTTGACTGGCAAAGACAACAGTTCCCTACACTCTAATGTGCTTTGTATGTGTATTTCTGGCAGCTCTGCCAGTAGCGAGTCTTGGTTTTGCCTGGGTGTCTACCAGCTTGGGGTAGTGGGTTGGCAGGGATCTTAGCAGAAATTGCACTGGGAGCACAATGCATCAAGCTGCTTCTAGCAATAACTCTCTGCTCACCTAGGGTCTCAGCCCACTGCATACATAGCTCAGTGGCCTACACAGTGCATTTCCCTCTTTGGGGTTCCAAAGAGAGCATGAAAAGTTGAAAGTCTCCAGCAGGCTATAGAACTGGAAACAAGCATCTCTGCTGTCTCTCTCTCTCTCTCTCTCTCTCTCTGTGTATAGTTTGGAGACAATAAAATATCAGGGATGAAAGAGAGATGGAATCATGACTTTGAAGCTAGCTTAAACTTGGGAGGCAAACTTGGAAAGGGACGCTTGCTATAGGCTAAGCTTGAAAAGTTCTCGGGGACCCATGACCCTTGCCACAGACATAAGCCCATGGTGTGTTTGTTGCTGGTGGTGGATCTGGTTTTGAGCTTCCTTTAACTGCAGTATCTTTTAGTGGTTGGTGTCTAGGATTCTTGTCCATGCAACTGACTGCAGAGCCCCTGCTCTCAGCTGCCACATGGCAGAACTCCTGAGTTAGGAGTGAAGAATCCCCAAAGGAAAACCTGTGAGCCCCCATGGGTAAGCTCTTCAGGGTGTTCTGATAATGGTGCAGGGAAGAGTGAATTTAGAGGAAAAAGAGGAAAAAGACAGAATTTAGGGGCTTTTAAGAGCTTTGTGAAAAAACAAAGATGCATGTAAAATAACGATACCTCATTAACAAAAAATGTATTACAAAGAAAAAAAAAGAGCCTAGCTCTGAGAAGGTCATTTAACATATTTTTGAAGGTTAAGAAATAATCACACAGCCAACTTGTGGGATATGTAGTGGAAAAAAATATGTACTTAGATTCAAACCATGGCCTCACGTTTGGATAAATCAACTCAATCTTTTTGATCTTAATATTTTCCAGATATAGAGCAAGGTTAATAAAAACCACCCCGCAGGTCTGTTATAGGGATTGATTTAAGGTGGGCCAACTTTGGGCCTGATAACTAGGACATCATAGGTGCAGAGTGAATGGAAGTCTTGTCATTACTTCCCCATGTCTGGGGTCAGGTGGATGGCTGGGATCTTTATCGACCTCATGTGGACAAGCTAATGAATGCTGACTGAAATAAAGATGGGAAATAAAGATAAAACAGTGTATTTTCATTTTGTACTGACATTGCTTTCATATAGGTATTAATATGAAACTATAAACAATGCCTAGTATTTCTGCAAGTTGATGAAAATGTAGTGAAAATAATGCAGAAGGAAAAACAATTTCCTCACCTCACAAAACATAGGCAACTTTTTGGCAAAATCCACCACTCTGGTAATTGCTGGTGTGATGATTTTTGTGAAATGGCTGAAGGCTTCCAAGTCGACCTTTCCACCCTCTGGGGCGTTTACTATTGGTGCTTGTCCAATGTCTTCTGGCTAAGAAGAAGCAAGAAAGATTGAAATCAATACATTGACGGGATCTTTATTCATCAAATCCTCAGACGGCAGAAAGTCTCTTCTGAACCCAGAGTTTCTGGTTTTCACATCCTTTATGAACAAACAACAGTTTTCACATCATTAATTTCTCTGACAAGGATCTATGTCTTGGCCATCATTTTAATAGCTTCCCCCCCACTCGGTGAGAATCTCTGCAGAGCTGTTGCTGCAGAAAGAGAGTAAGAGAGAGAGAAAGAGGGAGGGAAGGGGAAACAGTAAGAATTAGGATTCTGCCTCTGAATATACAAAGGGGTTCACTGTGCCAGAGGATGTGAATTCTAGGGGCTCTGGGTGGCATTTTCAGTGCATGCACATTCTGGTGTGTCTGTGTGGGAGGCAGGCACAGAGTGGGCCATGACAGTGGGGTGAGATGGGGGAGCCCTGGAAAACAGCCCAGCAGATTTGCTCTTGCTTCTGCCCCAGCAGCAGAGACGGGAAGTTCCCCCCTGCCCTACGGACTCCAGTTGGAGGAGGTCTCTCAGGCTGGGGGGATGATCTTTAGGCTGCTTACAGGAAACTGAGCTCTGCAAACTTGGCAAACTTGAGGACACAGCAATAAATTTACTCGTGTTTGGCCTCAGGGTAGTTTGCACAGGTTACTAGCTAAAGAACAATTCATGGTCTTGCTGCTCAAAGGGTGATGTGGCAGCAGAGGTGTCACTTGGGGGCCTGTTAGAAATGCAGATTCCTGGTCCCCTCCAAGGACCGCATGGTGCAGAACTGGCATTTTAGCAAGCATTTTCCTGTACCCCTGCCAGGTGGCTGGACTCATGTTAGGCTCCCCAGTGTCCACTGGAGCCATTAAGGAACACTGCCTCGTATTCAGTGACCTGCATGATGTGACTTCAGGTGCATTCCTGTTGTCATCAGTGCTTCCTGCCAGGAGTGGTCCTTTCACTCCCCTTTCTTACTGTGATAACCACCACTACCATTTATCGATGGCCTACAAGTAAGCCAGCCCCTTCATGTGCACTATATGAGGTAGTTTTCACAAAATCTCAGGTGGCAGATGAGCAAGCAAGGGCTCAGGGAAGTTGAGAGCAAGCCCCTGAGCTTGGGACAGGGACCCTGGTGGCCCAGACTCCAGACTGCAGTCTTTCCAGAGCCCACTCACTCCCTCTCATTTTCTTAACCCTCCCCTCGCAACCTCTCCAGTAGTCTTGCTGGACTATGAATGCAACCAAGGGGATCAGAGACTTTGGTCCTGCCCTGTGGTGGCCACTTTGTTTAGAGCCACCTGTGCCTTTGAACAGACAGGACAAGGCACCCAGAGGTTAGGAGGTTTGGGAGGTTGAGCAGAGGTGAGCAGGAGGAACTGACATTGTGAACTAGTCAAGAAAGACTGAATCCCTCATTTCAGGGAGGTGAGGGCACTGCCAATGACAGGCTTTGGTATAATGTCAGGGTTCCTCAACTTCCTGTGCACCCAGAATCAACTGCTTGCTGGACTCCACCCCTTTTGTTTCTGATTCAAGAGGTCAGGGGAGAAGCCTGAGAATATGCATTTCTGACAAGTTCCCAGAGCCACCTCCAGCTTAGAGTGACCCAGCCACCCATTTCTTTCCCCATCTCTCCCATCACTGCTCACAGCTAATATTCAGCACAGAGAAAAGTAAAGGATGATTCTTTTACTCTCTTATTGCCGGGGCACCAAAAGCAACAGGAGCAGCCTGAGTCCCCCAGGGGTGTAGCAGGAGTCGTGATTACAGCTAGGGGAGGATTTTTAAGTATATTACATAAGAAGCTCTGGCAACATTGACCTTTCTTGGATTATCCAGTAGGTTATTCAGTTTATTTTATTTGACTTTTTATTGTTTGTTTTGCGGGTATTGAGTGGAAGGAAAAAAAACCTGGTTTCTGTCATGTTTTCATACCAGTGATGATGTTTTGGGGCAACCGTTGGCATGGCTAACCCATGGGAGACTACTGTTCTGCTGACTTTCCAGAACTGATGGAATAATTGCATGAATAGCTTCCTTCTCTCTCTGTCTCACTGTGGTTCTCACATAGATTAAACTAGGGGAGAAGATACATCAGTTCCTCCTTTGGGCACTGCTACCCCTTATATCCTTCAGGTCTTCTTGCTGGTCTTTATAATTCTTCTCACCTTGAAAATGAAGCTCATCTAGCTTGCCTTGTCTACAACACTGTGATTAAAGTAGAACTAACTCAAAAAGATCAACTCATGAAAGGAATGTTGGCCTACACTGAAAAAGTAGAGCTTTACACACACACACAGGCATAGATACATAAATACACATCAGCAGGGTGCACATTTTTTAGAAAAAAATTGTAATAACAGGGTTTTGTCTTGGTTGAATACAAGCATCTTCTCACTGACCACAGACATACCTAATCTGATTGTATTCAAATGGTATTCAGCTTTCTTTGAAATTTCAGTGGGTTAATATTGATGTTAATTTTCATTCATTCCAAAGAGAACATCAAAATAGCCACAGGCACATGAACAGATGCTCAACATCACTAATCATCAGGGATATGCAAATCAAAACCACAGTGTGCTAGCACCTCACATCTGTTATAATGGCTCGCATCAGGGGACAGAAGACAACAGGTGATGGGGAGGATGGGGCAAGAAGGGAATTCTTATACCCTATTGGCAGGAATGTAAATTAGTACAACCAGTATGGAAAACAGTATGGAGGTTCCTCAAAATATTAAAAATAGATCTGCCATACAATGCAGCAATTCTACTTCTGGGTGTATGCCTAAAGGAAATGATTTGGACAGATATTTGTACTCCCAAGTTCATTACAACATTATTCACAATAGCCAAGATGTGGAAGACACCCAAATGCCCATTGATGGATGAATGGATACAGAAGACATGGTATATATTTATAATGGGATATTATTCAACCATGAGAAAGTAGGAAATCCTGTCATTGTGACAACATGATGGACTTTGAATATTATGGTAAACAAGAGAAAGACAAGTACTGTATGATATTACTTCTATGTGGAATCTAAAAAAGTCAAACCCATGAAAAAGAGTAAAATAATTATCAGAGGATTGGGGGGATAAGTTTAAATGTGTTAAAGGGTACAAATTTATAACAAGTAGTAAATTAGTCATAGAGATCTAATGCATAATAATGAACAGACAGTAATACTGTTCTATAATGATATCAGGTGATAAATATTGCTACAGTGACACTCATATTACAATATGAATGGATCCAAATAACACTTAAATTTATATAATGTTTCATGCCATGTTCGTGGAACTGAAAAATTAAAAAAAAAATTCTCTTCAAGCTGTGGGGTATTTGAATCACCACCTGTGTTATCTCTAAAGGTTTGAAAAGGAGGAAATTACACAAAGAAATATGGCAACTTTAATTAAAATAAAAACTCCAAATGTAACACCTTTACAAGTTTTCTGTGGAAAAATAAGTAGGGTAGAAAAAATTTACTTTTAAATCTTTGGGTGGTAAATGGCAAATTTAATTGCTAGAATAAAGCCATATACAAAGCAAAATTCTCTTTTTACATTATTAAGGTTTATTGTGATAATGAATTGTAGATGGTAGAAAATCTTCCATGACCAACTCAGGTTAACACATCAAGGATGAAAAATTAAGGTTGAGCAATGCAATCTAGTTTGTAACTTCCCTGAAGATTTTTACCTATAAGGATGACAGGTCATTTGCTAAAAATATTTGGAAGATAAAGAAAAGTACAGATATTTTACTTTAGTTGGATCTATAAGATATTGTAATATAGCTTTTAGCCCTATAATCTGCTCCTTGAAGTACTTTTGCTTGCACACACCCATGTGCACTTACACATAGGGGATCAGGCTTCCATACTGATGATATCTTTGGCTTATGGAATCCCCAGTGTGCACTGGCTGGCTTTTTGCCTCCATAGATCAAATTTCTTTAGGATGAGAGTACTTCCAACTCTCATTCTGGCTGTCTTCCTCTTTATCTGTCCGTCATGGACTTTTGGAGTCAGCCTGGCTGATCTTATGTCACCTCCTTAATCCGCCTCGTGTTTTTCTGTTTCAGGGCTGCCTTCCCGCCTGACTTTATCTTTCTCCCAAGTCCCTTCTTCTGTCTTTCTTCTGTCTACATTCCACACCATTCACATGCTCTCTCTGTGAGGTCTTCCTGGATGACCTCAGTTTGCCATGATGTCTATTGTATTTGAACACTCGTGGTGGCCCATGTCTATTGCTCATGGCATTTTAGCATTTTTTCCATCACTTTTTTTATTGAAGTAATGCAGGTATATAAATAAATAAGATATGAACTTCTCAAGGTAGGGGGAATAATACGCACATATATTCGTCTACTGTCTACAAGGCATTGGGCCAAATGGTTGAGGACAGAATGCTTACCGGGTAAGTAAGCAAATAAATGTGTCTAGACGCATGTACTAAACTGGTCTTGTTTTAAAATGTTTTTTCCTATATTAAAAAAATCATTTTGGGGTGTGGTGTGAGGAGGGCACACCTCCCATGGCTTTGGGGAGGTCACCGGTTCTAGAAGCAATCACTGAGGCAGAAATATGGGTGGGGAATAGGCAGTGACTGGGGCAGGGAGGGGGAGGAACAATTCTGGGCAGAGCTTAATTGTGTATCTACAAAAGGCCAGGTCTTCTTCCAGATGGGGAGGTATCAGCAATGAGCAATGTATCCTCAAGGATCTTTCATTTTAGTGAGGGAAGGTAGACAATAAATAATAATACACTCAGTTCAGTTTGTGATAAGACTGGAGGTGACATGATAGTAACATGGAGACTGGGAGTTGGGGCACAGCCAAGAATTCTTGGAGAAGTGATGGGGGAGCTATGACTTGACGAACGTCGAGGAGACAGTCTTCTAGAGAGCGAGAGGTAGAACATTTAAAGCAGAGGGAAAAACCAGTGCAAAGTCCTGGGCTAGAGACAGACCCATATCCCTAGATCCCAGAGATGGCATGAGATCAAGGATGGAAAGTGGGCAAGGGTCTGGTGATGTTGGTTTTTGTGGGCTACAGAGAGGAGATGGGCTTATTCTAAATGCAGTCTGGCACCTTTTAAACAGAGGAACAGCTTGAGGAGATTGATTATTATGCAGAGAGGGAGTGTAGGGAGCCAAAGGAAGAAACACGCAGGCAACAGCAGTGATCTGGGTGGGAGCTGGAGTGGGCTGGACTACAGGGGCGGCAGCAGAAAGGAGAGAAGTAGAAGGATTTGAGATATACCCCAGGAGCCAAAGATGGGTTTCTGATACATTGGATGAGAGTGGGGGACAGTTAGAAATCCAAAGTGGCTCCTCTGGGGCTGTGGGGTGGGGGTAGAGGGAGAGGTGCAAAAGAAGAGATGCAGACATGTGCAGGTACGAGCTTCAACCCCAGCTCAGCGCTAGAGGAGCCTGGTTGTTAAAAAATTGTAATAACTGGCTTTGTGCTTTGCTTCACCTGTATTGTTCATGGTGAGTGGGAAATGCTGCTGGCTGAGCTCTTTACAAGTGACTGGCTTGGACCTGAGAACTCCTGGGCTTGAACCTGAAGATCGGGCACATGCAGTGTGACCTGGGGCTCAGTGAGACTTCCCTTCCTCTGCTTGTTCGTAGGGTGTCTTTTCTCACCTTTGCCAAAATAGTCAGGAAGACCCAGACAAGAGGTACTGAGAAATCCCTGGACCCTGGGACATTACGAGACTCTCCCTTTTCCTGGGATGAGCAGGGACTAGATGGTAAAGATGATGTTGGCAGGGATGATTCAAACAGTAACTATATAAGTGGATGTTAATGACAGTCAAGCACTTCTATCATTATACTTACTATTTGGCAAGGGCAGAAAGATAACAGCCTGGGTGGTGCAAGGGGTTAAGACGCAACCTATGAAGCTGTCCGCAGCCATTGCAGCACGAGTTCGATTCCCAGCCAGGGAGCAACCCACATGACGCAGCAGACCTCTCCTGACTTGCCTGCTGCTCCCCTCAGCAGTGTACTTCGGTCAATCTGCCTGTTCTGTTGCCCACTCTGTCTCTGGTGAATCCTCTCACCCACTACACCTCTGGCCTGTACTCCATAAATAAATAAATAAATCTTAAAAAAAAAAAGATAACAGCCTGAGAGCTGTGAAGTGACTTTCCACAAATCACATAATTAAAAAGGAAGAGGCAGCACTGTCTGGTTCGATCTCCATGCACAACATTACTCAACCACCCTGCCTTCTGACTTTGGGTGACAGAAGTCTTCCTGACTTGATTGCACTTATCCTTGACTTGCCCACATAGACTGTACATAGCCAAATCACACATGTCACCTGACCCTTCTGCTCACCTTCCTTTCCTGAGGCTATCCTGATTGACAATGTGTGCGATCAGCCAGAGCTCTGCCAGGGGGAAAGCAGAGCAGACCTGCCCTGCTTCTGTGGTCACATTTGATACTACCTTTTTGGTGAAATAAGAGAGCAGAATAATAACACCACATCAATGGCAATATTGGGGCTGGTTTGGGGTTTGCTCCAAACCAAATGTTTCAACACCCATCCTTGTTTGGCATCTGATGCTCCTTATTCCTCCTCAGCCTACATCTATGTCTCATCATCAGTGTCATCACATCCAAATTGGTGGTTAAATTGGGCACTTTTAGACCATCAGAGATTTGAGCGGATAGGACAAAACTAGAAAATTATATGATTTAAATGATTTTGGCAGTAATTTTAAGGAATGGCTTTAGAAAATCTGTCTGGCTTTTGCAAAAATTTATTTGCCCATGACTATCATTTTCTCAGACCCAAATATAAACTTGAAACCCAACGCAAACCACCCATCTCTGTTTCTGACTTGAGTCCTGATTTTAGAGTGAAAAATGATAAAGAAGCTCCTTTTGGGGAGTAAGTTACTTACCATTCCAGATAAATGAATACGTCTAGCTTTTATGACAACATATAATTTTTAATCCTTTATGATATATTTTTATACTATTATTAACATAATAGACTGCCTCAAATTCTTTTTGGAACAAAACAGGCCATCATCATATAAAAATAAATGAAACAATATGTGTGAGCAGTGTTGCAAACAAAGAAAAAGGAGTAGCAGCCACATGAGAGATGGGTCCTAATGTGTAGAAGTCTACTCAGGGCAGGGATACCATGTAGCCAAGATGTATTTAAGCAAAAGATTCTTTTTTTTTAAGTTGAGGTAACATTGGTATACAATGCTGTGTATGATTCAGAGGCTTAAGATCACACTTCTTCAGATGTATGTTACCACACCACACCCACCACCACGCACCCATCATCTGAGGATTCTTAATGTCCTTACAAGAATAACTCACCACTCAAGAGTGAAATTTTTACTCTGAGAATAAATACTCTCCATTGGAGTCATCATCCTGCAAGGAGTATGTGTAAATATGTAAACTGGCTGAAACACAGGGCTTAACTGTACTGTCTCTGAGGATGGGCGGGACCTGTATAACTGTTAGTTTTCATGAAAACATCAAATATAGAAGGTCCAAGGGTATGGAAAGACCTATTTTCTCTACATACCACCCCCATCGCTGCTCCCCATTCCTATTGCATTTATGGACTCTAAATCATTTCTTTTAAGCTAAACATTGTGACTTCTATTGACTTCTAAGAACACATTTGAGATGGAGGATACTTCATTAATTGTCGGGGTTATTCTTAACTGGATATGTTGAAGCAAGTTTAGGGGACTAAGTATGTGCAAAATTGGGAATATGAGGGAGGAAATGGCTACAAAAACGGAAAGCTAGCAGGTAAAGAATTTTATTAGTTAGTTGATCCAAGGCTGAACTTACTACCGTAAAATCAGAGAATGTGGCCTTTGAAACTGCTTTAGAATTCAGTGACTCATAAGCAGTATGTGGTCAGTGTGTGGCCTTTACTCTCAGAAAGAGATGGAGTCAAATCCCAGCTTTGCAAGGTACCTGACCTGTCAGAGCTGCAGTTTCCCCATCAGTAAAATTGGGCAAAAACATCAGCATCCTGGGGTTGTGAGGACTGAATGAATTAAGGCAGAGCTGGCCCCTCACCCCACCCCCCACTCCACAGGCAGGCAGCCTTACCAGGAATTTCCGTTTCTGCTTCCAGTGGCTGCCTTGGGCATTGGTGGCCACATGGGCTTCCGTGACAGTTTTGATGAGCTCCCACTCCTCATCTGTGGGCTCTGGTTTGTGCCCGATGGATTTCTGCAGCTCTTCCCGCCGCCTCTTCTCTCGGTTCTCCTCGATCAGCTTCCTCTTCGCCAGCCGCTTGCTGTCATCCAGTACCACTGGGAGAGGAAGAAAGTGAGAGAATACACACAGCTACTCCAGACACTCAGCAGATGCCACATCCTGGAGCCACAGGGATGGAACCACTGATGCACAGGTGGCTATCTGGTCCTGCTGGGCGTGACCCCTTGTCAGGAAGCTGTCATTGACTCGCCATTGTCCAAGCTGAGTCCAAGCACTCAACTCCCAGAGCCGAGCCAGCTTTCAGCACCAAGCTCCAGGGCAGTGGGGTGACTGGGCATCCCCACTGCATAGTAGGTGGCCCGACATGAAAATGAAGCAGGGAGAAGTAACATTACATCCCCACAGGTTCACAGATATGTCTGTCTGGACAATCACCTGACTTCACTCAGGGTTTCTGCTCCTTCCCTCCCCCGCCAAAAGGCTCTTAGTAAGAAGAATTTCAGGTTAAAGAAAAGTTCTGGAGCAGCAATGGGAGGCTAGTGATCATTTCCTCAGAGGAAAAAGGGCCCCGACTCTTTGTTTGCCCCTTAAGGGCTGTCCATGTGGCTGGGCCTCTTTTGGATTCACAGGTACTTCTGGCAGTTAAGGAGCCCAGGCTTTGGAATCTAGAGAAACTGGCTCTGAATCACGACACCACCACATTCTAGCTGTGTGACCTCCGGTAAGTGGCTTAGGCTCTTTGAGCTTTCCTGTGTAAATGGGATCAATAACACCCTTTTTCACAGTGATACTGCATCAGCAGTGCTCAGGATGTAGATCCATGGCTTTTATCATTTATGTACAAAGGAATTAAGGAGAACAGGCAATAAGAAATCTGAATTCAGTGGTTAAATTGCAAAACCCAAAGCATTTCACCAATCTTGATAACTATCAGCGGAACAGAAAGGCTTGTGTTTTATACTGAGGAGTGAGAGGAATCTTAGATGTGATTGAGCCCAACTCCTTCCTCTCACAGAGGAGGAAGCTAATCTAGAGAGGTTGTGATTTGCCTAAAGTAACACAGTAAGTTCCTGGCAGAGCCAAGACAAGACCCTGGACCAAGGACTCATGAGTCTAGTCCTACAACATCATTGTCCTAAGGCCATTTCTTGATGAAGGTCTAGCCTTGTAGGAAAAGAAAAAAAGCAAACATAGCAGTAGGAAGAGAACCAAGGTGCTCAGGTAATCCACAAACCAAGTAATGATCATAGATTTTGGATTGGATCTTCAAGTCATGTGAGTGCTGACAAATGTGGGGGAAATGAAAAGCCCTGGCTACTCATTTTGGTTCACTTATTAACAGGAACTGTTTAAGTGGATGTTAATGACAGCCAAGCACTTCTATCATTATATTTATTATTTGGCAAGGGCAGAAATGCTTCCACTGTGCTGGGGTGCCTGGCTTTGACCAGGCGATATGTATTATCTAATTTAATCCTGAGAATGACCTTCAAGGTGGGCCAGCATTTTGCAGATGGGGAACGTGAGTTCAAGTCAGAGGGTCACATAGCTAGTAAGTGGCAGATCTGGGACTCCAACAATTTTTCTGATTATAAAACCTGAGATTTTATAACATTGCATGAACAACTAAGGGTCACTTACAATTTATTTCTACTGTCTAGATGAATAGTGAGTTATTTGCACCTCAAAAACACTCATATCTTTAATTTCTCAACAAGACAGTGAAATGTATATTCATAGTAACAGTTCATTACAGGGACACAGAGCAACAAGAATCTGGTTGTAAGTCAATCATTTTCACCTATTCTTATCAGGCATATTGTTGAAAGGGCTAAAATCCTTTAAAAGATAAAGAACACACCCCTGCAGAGGTGGGGATTAACCTAGGATTTCCAAGTTAACCTCCTTTTAAAAGATCCCCCATCCTGTCTTCTTTAATGGGCAAAGCAGGACATTGCCCAGGTTTTTCTGTTCCAGCTAAGAGAACCCTGTTTACCACATACACACGAGTCCTATCTCTTCTTCCATGATGAAAATTCTCACTGCCTTTTCCCCCCCTCCTTTTCTTCTTTCTGTTTTAACTAAAAGTCAGAATCCTTCACTGATGTGCAAAACCATGCCAGTGGAAATAATTAACACTGATGCGTGCAGAAGGGGGCACCTGCATTCAGAACAATACCATTCTTACTTTATTACTAGATTAATTAAAGTGATGGGTGTAAATCCCCTGCACAGTGTCGGGAGAAGAGACCCAGAGGGCTAATCTCACCACCATATGCTGTGGCACTGGGAAATCTGGGTAGGCCAACTTCTGCTCGGAATGTTTTTATGGCTAAAAATATAACAAACAACCAACTGCAGAATGACTCATGTAATAGCACTCAACTTCACATTCTTCAGAAATTTCTGAACGCGATGTTTTCTGCCAGTGCCCCGTCTCTAAAAATGCCCACAGAATGAATTCCTGTCTCTGCTTTTGAAAAAAATATTAGGACTCATCCACCAGGCTCTCACCGCATGAATGCTGTGTGTAAAATTATAGCCTCTCCAGGCAAATGGGCCAGACCTCTCATTTGTAATCTTTGTTGCATATAGAGTATTGCTAACAGTCTTGCAAGCAGGAGAGGGATAATTGAACTGTTTTCCCTCACCCATCATTTGGATGCCTTGAGAGTCAGGAGCAGATAAAAAGAGAGTGGGACACCTAGCAATGGCTGGGAATGAGTGGTCAGTGGGAAAGCAAGGAGTCTTTCCTCTGTCCTCTGCTTTCTTTCCTGCCTGGTTGATCTCCTAGAACCAAACCTTTCCCCAATCAAAACTCCTTGAATATAAAGCAAAAGAAGATTACTTACAATCTGTTGCCATGCCAACATAGATGCATTTTTTAAAGCGACATTCCTGGCACTGATTTCGTGTGACTTTGTCTATGACACATTTTCCTTCATATTTACAGGAATAAGACGGATGGAGATTTTTCTGAATGGTTCTTCTAAAGAAACCCTATATAAAAGAGAAAGGCCCAAGACAACAATTTCATATTTCCTAGAAATAAATGACCCCAGAATTTTGTGTCCACATACCAGTGATGGATTATTTTGGCCCTTACCTGTGTAGGGGACGGCAGTGTTACCTATAAAAATATAGGACAGTTGGCTTAATGTGAATCTTAGAATTCTAAATCTGAACTGTAGGAGTTGTTATAGGACTATAAAATCAACATATTTTTGGCGATTATTCAAGGAATAGAGATTAACAAGAAAACCCAGTGCTTGCTTTCATTTTTTCTAAACACTGAGTACTATAAATAATTCTTTCATTTTATGGGTTGCCATAATTATGCTGCTAAATGAAATTATGAAGAGATTCACTACACTTTACTGGAATACAACAGAGCTGGATGCTTGTGATACTTTATTAATTAATAATTGATTTAGTAATTACATGGAATTGCTAACTACCTTTAGAGATTTAGCTTAATTCTTAGTTTTGACTCTTGAGAGATCCATGACCAGCTCAGATAACCCGTCAAGCAGCAGTACCTGGGGAGTAGAAAATTTCAGGTCCTCTATCAAATTTTCCCCAGAACTCATTGCATTGGGGTTTTTCCATTCATAGCAATTATTTTCTCCAGCATCCATACATGTACCCTAATGTTCAATATGTTCCTTCTTAAGGCATGGGAGTGTGCTGTCATACAGGTTTCTGAGGGTGGCACTGAGTTCCAGGACCTCTGGGGACAGGATACTCAAGTTTTGGCCACTGTGCTTCTGAGCTGTAGGAATCACTAATGGCAGAGTACTCAGTTTGAGGGGTGGGGGCAAAGTGCTGTGGAAGCAATGCGTATTCTTTATATCTTCTGTAACCTGACTGAGTAGGGACTCTAATACCTACTCAGACAGGTGAGATCACTTGTCCAAAATCACACAGTAAATACATGCTAGAACTCAGCCTGGAACCCAGGAGCTGGACTCCAAATTTTGTTTACTTAACAGCGTATGTGATATAAACTGAAGCCAATTCAATCCCATCCCATCCAGTAATAAACTGTATTATTTATATGTCTTATTTGGATGAATAGATTATAAATATTCCCTCTCACCCACTACTCAAAAAAAAATCCTTCCTTTTATCTTTTTTTTTGTAAAGTAGCAAGGCAAAAGAAATTTTGAATGATGGTCTTTACTAAACCTTCAAGGGTATCTCTAACTCTGTGAGATAAATGGTGGGGCTGAAGTACCAGCTGACCTAAATTTTAATTATCCTGTTTAGTTCTCTTTGACTTTGATATTCCTCACTTAGACAAAAGAGTTCTTTATAAATAAAAGTTCAAAAAAGTAGGATTTTACACTGGGCAAAGCGGAAAATGGAAAAATGGCAGCAGTCGCTGAAAAGAATGGATTTGATTTTGAGGCATGTGTGCAAATCCCTTAATGGTTCCATTTTTCAAGTTCTAACAGAAAAACTGTCAGATTTTATTTGGGTTTTGCATCCTTGAAAACTTGAGTCCATTAGTTTGAATGATGTTGATAGACTGTTGAAGATTCATTAACTCACACGTGGAACAGGTATTTGAGATGTTAGATCCAGCTTCCCTGGGTTTTCTTCAAGGTTGGCAAATCCTGTCAGAGCATGAATGTCAGGGCATACCTCAGGAGTGAGGAACAAGCTCTGGGTAACCTTAGCCAGTGCACCCTGCAGGGTTATCCCCTCTTGGCGGGCAGAAGTCACCTGGAGATGGCCCCGTAAGACGACATACGTCACAGGCAGGGGGCAAAGTTTTCCTGGAGGTAGAAACACCATAGTCCAGGGTATCCAGTGAGAACACTGATTGCTGCTAAATGATTGGGAAATCGCTACTGTATCTGAGGTTGGGGTACCCTTTCCTCATCCTAACTTTGAATTATATTCTTGGGGGCGGGAGCCCACTGAAGGGTCAGACAACCCTAAGGAGAGAATGAGGTGTGACTGACCTTTCATTTCTCCCAAAGGGTTACTCTGAAATTTTAAGTAGAATGAATAATATATACTTCATTATTTTGAAAAAAAGAGTTGAGTTGCCCTCTTTGCCATGACTAATCTGCTGACTTTTCTTGGGCACATCATGTACCAACTCCCTTTTGAGAGATTGGGCTATCCTAAGCTCTGATGAAAACATATTGTGACACATGATCAGGGCCCACTGTGTTTGAATCAATACAAAGATGCTAAGTTCTTTCATTTTAAAAAGTGAGAATTTTACACTATAAGCCAACTAGTGGTTACCAGAAGGGAAGGGGGAGAGGAAGGAGTTGGGTAAGTCAGGTAAAAGGGGACAATTGTTTGGTGAAGTACAGAATTGGCCTTTTATAGTCACTTAATGTAGTATATGTAGATGTTAATTTTCTTTATTGAAGTACCATTGGTTTACATCCTGTTTAGTGTCTTGGACTCTCAGGTGTAGGGATCATAGTGCACCCACCACCCAAGCACCCAGAGTCACCAGAGTCTATTGCACTCTCTCCTCACCTCTGGAGGCCTTAGTTTTATGATGCTGCACACCTGAAACTTACATCTTATAATGCAATGTTATTTAAGTTACAAAAAAAGTGACAAAAACTGCCTTCTGGAAGTGAACCTGGAGAGAAAATATTTAACACAGTCTATTTATTAAAAATATTTTTAGCAGTGAACTGACAAAATAGATGTACTGGGGACTGAATAAGGACATATATATCCCTAATGATCTGCTGGTGAGTGGTGGTCTTGCTTTTATAAATCAACGCCAGACATGTTTCTCTACATTTTTTTTTAAAGATTTATTTATTTAAGCATACAAGAGCTGGGGTACAGGCCAGAGATGCAGGGGGGTGAGAGGATTCACCAGAGTCAGAGTAGGGAACAGAACAGGCAGACTGACTGAAATACACTGCTGAGGGGAGCAGTGGGCAAGACAAGAGAGGTCTGCTTCGCCATGTGGGTTGCTCCCTGGTCGGCTGGGGATTGAACTTGTGCTGCAGAGGCTGAGGATTGCTTCATAGTGCGGTGCTTAACCCCTTGTGCCACCAGGGAGGCCCTTCTCTGCATTTTTATATCTGGATCTATTTCTTAATGTTTAAGACGATGCATTACTCAGTGTGACAAGAGTTAAGTCACCCTCCTATTATAATATTTGGGTAACTGTTAAAAAGCTTTGGGTCTTTCTTTAAAAATGGTTTATTGTGTAGAGGTATTCTTTCTACAAAAGGAAAAAATGAGCATATCACAACAGAGGAGACATCTCCAAAAGATTTCCACTGTCTTCAGGGAAAAATGAGCAAGACAATTCTCCCTCTTTATATTACATATATGGGGTAGAAATATTTTTAAAAAGTGGTTTGAATAAATAGTATGGAAAGGACAATCCTTTTCCTCTCTGGCCACTGTAAAAAACTGTGTTTTATTGGAGAAACTCTTTTACCTTATTCCACGTTGCTCTGTCCTTACATTAAATGATCTACATAGCCACCCTGGGAAGGCTTCTTTTTGATTTTATGATTGTATCCATCCTAGAAATAGGGTTCTGATCTGAGATGCAAGTGCAAAGATGCAGGCTAAGGAATCTAACTTGATGCTACATAATTTCTTTCTTTAAGTAAACCTCATGTGAATCAGGTTCAAAATGCCCTGTGATCTTGGGGGAAAGAGGCTAGTGGAATTTTTGATCATCTTGAAAACATACATGAGGCAGGGACATGGGTTAGCAGGCTTGATACTCCCTTTGTTTAAATTGATAACTAATAAGCATTTAAGTTCTCTATAAGCCACATTCAGTCTTGAGAGTCATTTTGGGGAGTTAAGTATTAAATGGAATTTTCATTAGAGTCTCTCTCAGAATTCAGAATTTTCCATTAGGAATGGATTTGAAACAATCTCAGTGCTGCATAATCAGATAGGTGAAGCTTTATGGATTGGGGCTAATTTAGGGGGAAAAAAAGACCAGTTTGAATGACTGGGCTTTGGGAATGAGAGAACATATCAAAATAATGCAGGTTTATCTCTTTCAAGCCAATACAACTGTGCTTTCAGTCTGCAAGTTTCCCAATTAATAAATAGCAGTACTTATTTGTAATTAGTTCTACTGAACTTCTTAAGACATTATTTTCATGGATATAATGGCAACCATTAGCCTAATCTTTCTTTTTTTTCTCCTCTCTACAACCCCCCACCATCCCCAATCTTTACTAAAAGTGTCCAAATTCCAGATCAGAGGGGTCTGGGTGAATCAGAACACATAAAATCACATTCCCCAAAACTGGCAGATTTAGGCTTTTGGAATGATCTCTTTCTAAGGGGTGTATCATCTCAGCACTTAGCAGACTTCATGCACAAAAGTAGGCTATCTGCATGGAAAGTCTCCCACCAGGGAAAAGCATCACCTTAATTTGAAATCAAACTAACATGTTGAGTTTTGGGGTTTCGGGTCAAGGGTTAGGAAGAAAGGAGGAGGTGAAATAAGCGGAGGAGAGGAGGGAAGGTTGAATTGTTTTATAGATTTTAATACAATTTTTGTTTTTGTTTTAGAGTTTACATTCCATGATATTTAGTTTTAATATAAAAGATAAGGCATTTAAGGAGAAATATTTTTTTCATAAGAAAAACCTTAAAACATTTTCTGACAAAATACTAGCTGAACACCAGCTACAACACTGGGTTAAATTTTATTTAGCTTTACAGTACACTTTACACTTTACTTTCTGGGTTAGGTTGCTGAAACAAAAGATATTTGCCAAGTAACTCATTTTAATTATGATGATGAAGATTATAAGTAGGCAAATTTAGGCTCACTGAACTGACTGTTGATCATGGATGTATTCTTGACAAATATCTACTGAGGATGGGTTTGTAGAGCATAGAATTAGCTAATGGATCATCAGGATTTACCTACTGACTGTAGGCTGTGCAGAAAGCCAATGTGGATAAATCCAGAACATAATTGAATCTAAGTAGTCCCAAAGATATTCCCTTAAAAGCAAGAGCATTAATCTGATTAATAGTGGCAATCGGCCCATGGTGGAGTGAACTATCTCCTCAAACACTGGAGACAAAAATAGGAGAAATGGCTATTTCTGGACATAAATTACCCAACCATTTCAAAACTCAAAATGAGAATTTTATTAATTTCTCTTTATTTTATCAATCATCTCCCAGTTTAAAAAAAGAGACGCCACACTCACCAAACTTCATTAAGCTATCTTTTGGTTTGGGAAAAAATGAATTCAGTTTTGAACACCTCAAAAATGAATAGGACAGTCAGACATCTGGATGACCATAGGCCATGGGTGTGAGGATTTGGTTCTATTTGAAATTTAATTTGGGGGGAATCCTGAGGCAGGTGGGGGAGGGTTGATCACTGAGCTCACTGAGCCCAGGACAATTACCTTGCAGCCTTCACACGTGATGCAGCGGTAGTGATACCCTGTGGCTTTGTCACCACACACTACACATAGCTCGTCCTTGTCTAAGTAACTGGGGATGTACCCTGTGAAGGAGGAGAAAAGAGTAATGTGAGAACACAACATCTTGTTAATGTGAAAGACACCAAATCGGGAGGAAAGGAAGTGAAGTGGGTGAAGGAGAAGACTGAATTGTTTAATAAATGTTAATACCATTTTTGCGTTAGGGTTTGCATGTTGTGATAACTTAGTTTTAAATATAAAAGGTAAATAGGATATTTCACAAGAAAAAATTACATAGGTCTCTCTCTGATCCTGTGTCTCTTGTACTTACTAATATTTAACTCACACTCACGGGGTCAACATAAGGTCCAAGATTTCAGAATGCCTTAGAAATATGTGTGTTCTGCCCAAAGACAGGTGAGTGGAGAATGACGTAGTATCCATGACAGTGAAATACCACTCAGGTACAAGACAAGATGAAATCTTGCCATTTGTGTCACTATGGATGGAACCGGAGGGGATCATGTTAAACAAAGTAAGTCATAAGGAGAAAGACAAATAATGATGAGTACACTCATTTGTGGAATATAGAAAAACAATATAAAAAGCAATAGACAAAGCTAAACCAAAACAAACCCTAGAAATCTGACTGCAGAATTGAGGCTACTAGAGGTAAGTGGGGAGGAAGCCCAGTGAGTTATGGTGGAGGGTTAGTGGGGGTTTTGGTGGTGGGAGTGGTGTGCTGACATGCACCTGAAAACGTGTGAACCTGTTCCCCTAAATCATCTACAGTGTTGTAAACCAACGTTACCTCAATAAAGAATGGTAAAATTGAAAACAAATAGATAAAACACTTTTTTCAGAGAGAGGAAAAAAAAAAGAAATAGGTGTGATCACACTTGCTGTGCAGGTAGAAACAGATCAAAGGTTGTTGGACCCAATGACTCATCGGGAGGCCAAGATTTGGGATCCCTGAGGGATCTGAATTTTGACACCACAAACTCTTTCACAAGGCCATTTCATAACTTTTCCTAGAAGTCTTGATCCATTTTGGAATGATCATGCAATACATCTTTGAAAAGATACCATGCGGTACATTTAGGAAACTGTAGCTGGAAAGGTCACTGGGAGATCATCAAGTATTTTTGAGGTGAAAAACAGATTTTTAGAGAATTGGTTCCCCCTATGGTCACAGTAGAAATTAATAGCAGAGACTAAGATCCAAATATCTAGTCCTCCAGTATATGTCATAAAACAGGCAATTAATTTTAAGTAGCATGAATAAGGACATCTAATGAGATTTGGCAAACTTGGGATACTAGAATATACAACCCAGTAGGGCTATTTAGTGTAAAATAATAGAAATTTTCTTTAGTAAGAAGAAAAGGAAATACAATCATAACTGCCTTTATTCATGTACCTGTAGCTCATTTAGTTTAAATTCCTTGATCAAAAAGCCGGTTTACAAACAAAAACAGAAGCAGTCTACTTCCCAAGTCTCTTTGCCTCTATGCCTTCACTTACAATGGGTACGCACCAGAAGCTGATTCAGAAGGACAAACTCAGCTTCATATGTATCAACTGCTCACAATAGAAGCAGATAGTTTTAGATTAGACCAAGCAATCAAAACATAGCTCGATTTGTTGGGTTGTGAAGAAGGAAAGGTCTGAGAAAACAAAATCATTATTTTTACTGATCATGGGCCCTTATGAAAATTTCTTTTTGCTGTTCTTATAATTTTTTTTTTATTTTTAAAACATCCTTATTTATTTTTTTCACAATTAAGGATTTCTTCCCTTAGGTGCAGTCACCTTATGAAACTTTTTGACTCAGTAAACTTCTACTGTTTCAATAAAGATTAGCCAGGTTGAAATGACAGACGACACTGTATGTTTTACCATGACATTTTCGAGGATCTTTTATTAAACTAGGTCACTGAGGGCTTGCTATTCAGAAAAAGCCATAAAGAAACAGAAGAAAATGAATCAAATTTCTTAGAAATGACTTTGCTCAGACTTTATTTTAGAAAAATGTCCCTTCTTGGGAAGTAGATAAATCACTTCAAAGTGAGATTTGGTAATGTACAGGATTATCTTTTTAAATATCACAGCTTTTCTTAGTTGACTTTTACATCATGCAAACCATGAATCATCTGTTGAGTTCACTTCAAAGGTTTCAAATTTCTCATGAGACATTTAAAAAAAGAGAATCTGGGAAGGATCTGAGGGGAAAAAAAGGGGATTAGAATGATTTGTTTGTTCAATCACTCATCAACTTGTGAATTTAGAAAACATTTATTTAGCATCTACTATGTTCTGAGAACTATGTCTGGTGCTGAGAATATAAAAACAAATAAGACATGATCTCTCCCTTTGGGAAGCATATGTGTGAGCAACTGAGTTCTGTATTTCCAGTCCTGGTCACTTCTTAGTGAAAAAAAATGGTGAAAACGAAGGAAAGAACATGAAAAGATTCTCAACATCACTATAAGGAAATACAGACCAAGTCCACAATGAGGTATCTTACATCCTCTAGGAGAGTAATACATGTAAATGATGACATACAGAAATTAGAATCCTTATATTAGTATTATGAAGGTAAAATGTTCTTTGGAAACAGTTTGGTAGTTACTCAACAGGTTAAACATGAATTTACTTATGACCCAGAAACTTCACTCTTAGGAAGATACCCAAGAGAGTTGTCCATACAACTCTCCATATGTCCATACAAAAACTTGTACTGGAATATTCAAAACAGCATTACTTATGATATTTGAAAGGTGGAAAGAACTGAGATGCCCATCAGATGATGAATGAGTAAACAAAATATGGCATACCTATACAATGGAATTTTATTCATCAACATAGATGAATCTTGAAAACATTATGCTAAATGAAAGAAGCAAGACATGAAAGGCCCTATGGTACATGATTCTGTTTATATGAAATGTCTAGAGTAAGCAAGTTCATAGAGACAGAAAGTAGAGTAGTGGCTTTAAGTCCTGGGAGCTGGGAGGGGAAGAATGTGGAGTGGCTGCTAAAAGGGTACAGAGTTTCTTTTCAGAGTAATAAAAATGTTTTTGAATTATGTAGTGTTGATGATTATAACTATGTGAAAATACTAAAAACCACTGAATGAAAAACTATTGCATGGACATTTTTGATGCACTTTAAATGTGTGGATTTTATGGGATATGAAATATATCTCAATATAGCTGTAATTAAAAAAAAAACAAAGAAATGAAGGAAATAAGATGACGGTTCTATTTCAGCAAACATTTGTATAGGAATACCATGTACTGGCAATGTTCTAAGGATTTAAAGGTGACTGCATTTTCATTCTTGGAGAAGCTTTCATAGTAACAGGGAGAATAGACAGTGGCAGATCATCTACCTATGATGTGATAGGCACTGGGATAAGTCTATGTCCAGTAGAAACTCTAAGAAACCTTCCTGGTCACCTCCAACTCCATACATCCTTAGGCTTCCCTAAGGGTAGCCCTTTATTATATTATATGCATTATAACTACCAGTGAACTTTTCCCTAAGTTCATTATCTCTGGTTCACCTTAGATTTGTGTAGTTAAGGTAGAGGGAAGGATCATATGACCCATGTGGAAACCCCAGTGTTTAGCACCTGCTTCCTCTGAAAGATGACATCACAGTTTTTCAAGATTGCTGCTGTAGGTCAATGGTAAAAACATAAGGGTATGGGGTTTATCTGGACTCCATGGATGAGCTTGAAGGCTGGAGGTGTGCCTGAGAAAGGTTAAAGACCTCTACTAAGTTTCTGAAAGAGGTGATAATACAGATACAGGGATCCAATCCTTTGGCCCAGTAAAAACTCAGTTAGAAAGTTCAAATATTGATAAAGAAACCAAGATTTCACTCATTTTGGGGAGACCAAGTCATCCAAATTCAAGTTCATCTAAGGCCTAGTGATATTAGGAAATGTATGATCATGAATCAACTAGATTTGGTCCTACTTTCTTGGACTGTACCCTAATCACTAGGTTTAATTAGGTGAGACAGGGCCAAGGAGAACTTAAAGAAAATGACATTTTCCCACAATATTGAAATGAAAAAATCACTAGATCTAAGCCAGTTTGAATAAGATGCCATCACCAAGAGTGGAGGCTTAGTGTATATTTAATACAACTTGCTCATCTTTCAACACTAGGTTATGTTGCCATTACAGTCAAAAGAGTCTTTGCTTGTTGGTTAGGTATCTACTTTACACAACCATAGACCCCAAATGCCAAGATTTTATACCATTATCTGCTAAGTAACTTATGGTGATGTGGCTCCAATTTAATAAGAAATACTAATTAAACCTACAGGAAAATTCATTACATATTGATTCATCCATACACAGTTTTAGGGACTCCATCCATGAGAAGAAATAACATAAATCCCCAAAGGGCTCTGTGTCCAAAGAACTAACTAATTAGCAAATTGTATAGAAGATCATAATAAAAATGGCCAGAAAAACTCTGGACTTAAATCAGCATTGACCAAAGGACTTCTGTGGTCACAAAACAATGTGTATTAGTTCCTTACAAAGTACAGACTTTTAAAGTAAATAGTCATACAAGTCATGCAGTTCATTGTAAAGCAAATCAAAACATTATACAGTTGCAAAAAACAAAATTACTTACCAACCTCCACCCACAGAGATGACAAATGTGGAATCTGGGTGTTTCTTCATCTTAGGTTGGTATGAGTGTGACTGTATATGCACCAAAACACATTCTTAATAAATACAAAGTAAGTAAATAAAAGGAAGTAGTCCTTTTTATTAAAACAAACATCTTCCTGGTGAACTCAGGTAGAATAGACATATTGATGTTTCAAGAAGGTTGTGACTTGACCTCTTATACCCAAAGGTTATGTATGGTTGATCAGAGTAAAGACTTCCAAGTTCTTGGTATTAATTACAAGTAGCAGAGATAAGGCAGAAAGAGGTGATAATACAGATATTACAGGCCATTTCCTTCTAATTTCACATCTGGGAACCAACTGTAATACAGTGGGACACTGTGTGGCTTGTGGGTCTGAGAACATTAAATAGAACTGAGAAAAT